ATATGAAGAAACATAATAAATAAAACGGGTTAACATACAGAAACACCCCTGTTACTACACATAAATACAAAAACCTCTCTACTGTTACATTTATTTCCAAAATCGGACAAAAATACCACTGTTAAAGCCTATAAATATATCCGTCTGTTTGAGCCATTTTACACTATATTTTTTAACATTTTCAGTCACTTTTACTTGGGAAATTTTGGTATTTTTATTTTTTTCTCAAAAACATCTAATTGCTTATATATATATATATATATATATATATATATATATATATATATATATATATATATATATATATATATATATATATATATATATATATATATATATATATATATAATTTTTTTTTTTTGAATAAAACATTTTATTTTTGTCATTTTGAATTTTTTCATTTTTTTTCTTAAATATCTTGTGGTAGTTCAAATTCTCAACCATGATAGGATTGTAAAAATATTTGTAATCTTAGAATGTTTGAACTACTCGAAGACATTGAAGAAAAACAAATGAAGAAACTCAAAATGACAAAAATAAAATGTTTTATTCAGAAAATTAAAAAAATCTAAGCAATTAAAAGTTTTGGGAGAAAAAAATATAAGGGAAAATTGTAATTTTGGTCCTATATGTTGGTCTCTTTAGGGGTGTAGTCCTATAAGTTGACATTTTCAATTTTACATGCAATAATTATGCAAAATTAGAATTTTTAGTTCTATTGCACCACTCGAACTTTGAATTTTCGCCGCCGTTTAATGATGAACCTAACAAACTCGTAGAAATTTACTTATATATATAATTTTAGCAGAGGTATTTTTGTCACATTTTGGAAAAAATGTAACTATACGGGGGTTTCTGCATTTAACCCTAAATGAAACAAATACCTCATTGAACCCCACAGTCACGGTCCTTAGCTCGGCCCCTTTTGAGATTGTAATGCCAAGATTTACGAGGGTTTGTATGACGGATCCAGGCACATTGGGAGCCATGAGCAGATCATCTGTTACTAGAAAAGAAACTTGTTTTTCTGTAAAAACTCCACCACCACCACCACCACCACCACCACCACCACCACCACCACCACCACCACCACCGGCGCAATCGTCGGTTTCTACTACTACATGACTCATCGGTCTGCTTAACAGTTTCCCACAATCGCATTTCATAGTATCGTAGTACATGCTTACATTTGGAAATCTGTGTCTCGTACAATCCGTGTCTGCGCATCTGAAGTATTTGATTGGCTGATCAGTACCAGAGATGTCGAGTTTGCGTTTACGAGACTGGGATTCGAATTCGAAGGAGGTTATTCTCGGATTCAGAAGCATCTGCTTACCACCATCCGTACAGAAATTGTCGCTGCTGAGTTGCTCTAAGCGATTGTACAATTTCGTTAAGAATCCAAACTGAGGTTCTGCTGCGTAGTGCTTCTTCAGAACTCTGACAATTGCACCCAGTGGTAGAGTCAGGAAGCTCAACAAAACGTCGGCGAAATCACTTTCGACCTCGGCGAAAAGTACTTTGGTTTTCTCTTCATTTATCATCACTTTCAAACAGAACTTGGCTTCTTTACCATCTGACATTCTTTTCGTTTGGTTTACACTAAAATAAAAACACACACAAAATTATCAAGAAAAAATTTGAAATTTACCTGCTCAAAATTAAATAGAAATTAAAGAATGTTTGGTACCACAAAGCCACGGCGGCGCCGCGGAGAAACAAACCTTTGGAAAGAGCGAAATGTGAATACAAAACCAGAAACCTAATTCCCCAAATGTGAATTTGAAGAGGATGGAAAGTTTGGAGTATTGCAGGAGACTTCTATTTTTTTTTTTTTTGTTTTTTTTTTTTTTGTTTTTGTCATTGGGAACTTTAATAGTCATATACTCCCTCCGTCCCAATTTAAATGACGTTTTGGGTTGTTACGCACATATTAAGAAAATCAATAAATGTGTATAGATTATAGTGAAAAGCATAAGAAAATACTAATATATCCTTGACATTAATTATTTTACAACTAACAAATTAGGAGTGATAAAGGGTAAAATTGAAAATAATGCAATTAATGATGCATTGAAAATCTAAAATGACAAATAATTTGGGACAAAAAAAACTCTCTAAAAAGACATATAATATGGGACAGAGGGAGTAGCTTCCCATCTCATATCAATGGCTGGCTTGTTTGTGCATTGGGAACTGGGAGGAAAGGTCAGATCACCTCTACTTGTAGACTACCAAAGTTCAACCGTCTTTGCAAAACTCATTATTATTAGAAACTGAAATAAATTCGTCCGCTCTTTCGTGTGTTATATTACGAAATTCACTCAATAATTTCGTGTATTTTTACACGAAATATAAGTGTTTATTGTTGTAGAACATGAAGGACGAAACTGTTGGATTGAAAACATTCTCAGTGACAAAAAACACGAAATTACACATTACATTTCGTGGATTTTTCCACGAAATATAAGGTAATGTTTCGTGAAATGTAGTACGAAATTACTAATTGATTTGTTTTTTTAATTTAACCAATTTATTTTAGACACTCAAATAAATAAAATACATTAACATAAATATTCTTAAACTGAAGTTAAAAAAAAAACAAATTGACATAAAAATTCAAATACAAATACAAATATAAATTGAACTAGAATTCAAATACAACTACAAATTGAACTACCGACCAGACTTTAATTGTTCGTACAAGAGTAGTCGGGGTTTGAACATTTTGAGTAAGTGCCTCAGGTTTTTAGCTCTATGATCTACCCATGCCGGATGGATTGGTGGTAGAGAACTATTCACGACCAAATTAACAAACATGAAATGATTGTTGTGCAATGTCACAACAATCATACATGATAAGTGACCACTGTCAAACATAGGAAGGTAAGTCATACTCCCTACTTGGGTCAAAAGTACCACTAATGCACTGTATTTGGTAGCAATGTCCAATCCCATTTCATTCATGTCCATCCAATAAGCTTGAGGACAAGGCCCTGAGGTCCAGTCACACTTGTGTATGACCTCAATGTATCCGGTACTGCCAAACATCGTCGTGTACACATTAGCATGCTCGTATAACTCAATAAGCAACTCCCCTCTCACTTGCGGCCATCTTTCTTGATCCTCGTACACGGCTTGAGCAACGCACCGGTACCCACAGTTGCCATCCGCCATCACGTTAACATAATCTTGAATGAGACGGACCATAAATCTGGGCACGAAAGAATAAAAGTCGATTTCTTCATGTGCAGGTATTGTAGGCGCAGCAGATTCTTGTGTGGGAATACGAGAACCACGACCTTTCATCTTCAATTGAGGCGTTCCATCAGTGCTTCTCTCAACCTTTGCTTTAGGAATCTTTGCACCAGATGAGGTTTGGCGACCCTTGGAACCACAAGACGACTTAACTGTCTCCTCATCCATATGATACTGCCATCTGGAAGGGTCTCTCTTTGTCGAGTTATTCTTTGGTCGTCCTTTGGTCTTAACAAATGATGTCTCGGACAGATGGGACGTAGACGGATAAACGATGCCACACAATGAGGCCACGAGATTTATCTTACTCGTGTAATTCATCTTCTTAAAATTGAAATTCAGGGTCATCAATCTGTCTATCCACAATCTCCTCGCGGTTTACTTGATACTCGGGTAGCTCCGAAGGCTCAACTGCCATGGTACTCCAGAATGGATGCAAGTCTGAAATGACGAACGTGTCATTATCTTCCATTTTCTGCATAATTTTGCACGCGCATGGGAGCCCATGAGTATTCCAAAGATAGTGTGTGCAAATACTCGGATCTTGCATCGTCGGGGACTCCATCTCTTGATCCAATTTCTCTAATGCCAGATGCGTAACATAACAAATCAAACCCTGAAAAAACAACCATGCTGCAGTATGCTTCCTTATCTGGGATGATAATGAAAAATCGCACTTCAGCTGACTAATTTGGATATAAATTTGGTCCCGAAGTTTGCCTTGCACGTTATCCAGACCTCCGGTCGAAGCATTTAACCAACCCTTCGCAGAAGAATAAGCACTCTCCACCCTATCCAATTACAACAACAATCAAAGTATACAACGACAATCAAATTACAAAATAAATATTATGTTTATATAATATATTTTAATCATTTAAATAACTAAAACATGTAATACCTATTGGTGCTCGTGTTGCCAAAATGATACACATTGTGAGTATAGGCTCGAACAAACTCCTCCTTGTATATCAACCACGTATCATTCAAATACTGTATCAGTCTAGGATATCCTCCATACCGTCCAACAATTTCATTGTAATTGTAATGATACTCTTCTTCGGTTTCTGATTTCACCAGCTTAGCCCACAACACACGTCGGAATATTAAACCTTGGTCTTTGTTGCCTCCCATAAATTTCGTCGCATTTGCCTCAACATTTCTGTTTATATGGAATATACACAACATATTATACGAAACTGGGAAGACATTTGGCAGTTCTTTCAAAAGACCCAGCTCCCTGTCTGTCAAGATCGCATCAGGTTCGACACCATCTAGAAACTCTTTCAAACAATTCAATGTTCACTCGTAGGTGTCTGTATCTTCATGCGACATAAATGCAACAACAGTCGTAAAATTCCTCCCAACTGAAGTTATCCCAATTATTTCTAAAAGAGGCATTCCATACCTACAACAATGTTGTTTTTGTTAGAATAGGTTACCAACAAGCCAACTTGTGGCTGTGGTCTTTCCATTTATTATTGTAATAAACAAACCTTTTTCGTATTAATGATAAAATACCTTGGCATTCTATATATTTGTCCCTTTGTCACAAGCATAGATATAGTCCTTACAGTAATTACAAGTACGAGTAATTGATCGTTATGATCGTGAGATATTTACTTTAGTATTATAACTGTTAAACGTGTTCCTAGTCGAAGGGTTACGCCACCAATGAGGATATAGGCATTTCCCAGTAAGAGACTAGCACTTAGTGTATGTGTACTGCATCTCATCAGTAAACAGTATTGTGATATCGGCATGCATAAGTGGGTGCTCGTAAGTTGACGAGTTCACTGAACTCCCTCACCCTAGAAATCTCTAAGTGGTTCTCAATAATCGAGTAGAGATATCTATGGTATAGTTGTACACCATTAGTCCTTATGACCTAGACATCACCGTGACTTCACTAGAGGACCAGCTGTATCGTGACCTGTCCTTGAGTTCCACCGAGGACCATCCCAAGGGCCAGTGTTCATGCAGTCCGAAATCTAGTAGGAGGTCTGTGCATTGTAGTCAGGGATTCGATCGCTAGAATAGTCTTGGATGTCCTGTGTGTTCTCATAGTTTGTAATCTCTCTAAGTCTCTGGCCAGAGCTGACTAAGTGATGATTAGAGAATTCGATTCTCTAAACCATGCACGTAACGATTACAACACTTAGAACGATCGCACACTCATTGAACTACTAAGGAGGTCTCGATGAACCAATGCCTCTAGTTCAATCGGGACATATGAATCGAAGGGATCGTACTATATGCTAACTATATCAAAAGGTTCTTGCAAGCACTTCATTTGTATCTAGGGAATCATGACGCGTAGTTGCCAGACGCCAATCTTGATTCGTTGGGTGATTAAGGTGAAACGAGCTTCATCTTAATCGTAACTCTGAGGGACGAGTTTTGACCACAAACGGTTGTGGGCCCACGGCTAGCTTACACCAGAACCATCGAGGGTCACACTGCTCGTGCACATGAGATCTTTGAATAAACGGTCAGAGATAAAAATGTTTATCTTTGCATGATTAGAAGTCAATATGATTGGGTCCAACATTCGTAATTTGGAATTATGAATGAGAATAAGAAAAGGAAAATAATAGGCGAACATCTTAGTGGACTTTCTAAATCGGGAAGTTTCCAAATTTAGAAAGTGCACTGAATTAGGGTTTCCACTTTTGGAAAGTTGGAAATCGAGAGTTGGCACTCGTAACGACGAGGACATTATAATGATTCCGAAAATGTAATCATTACAATTTTCCGATCATTGAATTGAGAGAAACGAGCGAATAAAAGACTAACGAACTTAAGTTGTTGGGCCCGGTCCAACTTAAGCCCGTTAGGGCTTTTATGCAAGACACTATAAATACTTGATTTATAGGTCTTGCACACACGATAGAGAACTCGAAACCCTAACCCTATCCGCTCTCTCAATCGGCCATCTTCTCACGCGGCCACCACCGCCGTCGCCGCCGCCAACTCGCCGGAATCGGCCATCTCTTGGCCGATCCTATTGGTAGATCTTTTTCCTTTTATTCTAACTATTTCGTGTCTAGTGCCACGTTTTAGTAGATCGGAGTATACGAGGTGAAATCCGAGAGGAGGAAGATCGAAGAATCGAGGAGCACCCCTTGAGCCGACGACGCACGCGCCTTCACGCGCCGCCCGAAGACAGCGCGTGAATCACATGCGCCGCCGTAGCTCGGATCATCGCCGCTGCCGCTTCGCCGTTGCTGCCCCGGATTGCACGGATTGGTTTCCGTGGCAATCTAGCTTTGCTTAGTGCGCCTACCTCACGCTTCAAGAGGTATTTTTGAATCCGGTATTCGTTTGATAATGATTTAATTAGATTAAAATTACGCATGTTCGTCTTAGTAGTTCGTTTCATGAATTTGTATGTTTTGTATGTTTACATGAAATTCATGATTTATTGCGAGCATACTATTTGATTTAAACGCGAGCATGCTAGTTGATTTAAATTCGATTAACTAATTAAGCTTGTATGTTGTTTTTAATTTCGCTGGAAGCGCAAAGGTACGCAATTAATTGTTTTCAATTATCGGGCATGTGTTTATATGATTTAAATTTGTTTAAATCGCATAAAATTTTTGTTTTCCGCTGCGTACACGTGTCTGATACCCAATAGTTGCGACAAACGAAAGCATGGTTGTTCACACGTTTCTCAACGAAGGATTTGGGATAAGCATCTTACGTATTAGGAATATAGAGATAGAGCAAGAAAGATGCTTGGCTTATCCCAAAGCCTGTACATAGACACCGTTATGAAACGGTTTAGCATGGAAGAATCCAAGAAGGGATTCTTGCCAATGTCCCATGCGGGTTCGTCTCTCGAAATCTATGTGTACTCAGACACCTAGTGAAATCGAGGAGATGAAAAGGACACCTTATGCTTCTGCCATGGGAAACATAATGTATGACATGTTATGTACGAGACCCGATATCAGTCTAAACTCGGTCCAGCTCACTGGAAGGCCGTAAAGGATATCCTCAAGTACTTAGGAAGGACTAAGGATATATTTTTGCTCTATGGGGGTGCCGAGTTGAAATTAGAGGGCTTACCCTAGCCGCTCATCTCTCTCTCTCTCGGCCGATCTTTCCCGCGGCCACCACCGCCGCCGCCGCCATCAAGTTGCCGGAATCGGCCTCCCCTTGGCTTATTGTCTTGGTAGTTCTTTTCTCTTTTCGTTTCTTCCGTATATTCTAACTATTGCGTGTCTAGTGCCGCGTTTTAGTAGATCAAAGTATACGAGGTGAAATCTAAGAGGAGGAAGATCGAAGAATCGAAGAATCGAGGAGCAGCTCCGAGCCAACGACACACGCGCTCCAACGCGCCGCCCGAAGACAGCGCGAGTTCCTCACGCGCCGCCATTCCTCACGCAGTCGCCGCCGCGCTTCGCTGTCGCCGCTCCCTGATTGCACGGATTGGTTTCTGTGGCAATCTTGCTTCGTTTCGTGCGCCTACCTCACGCTTCAAGAGGTAAATTTTTGAATCCTTATTCGTTCGAAATTAATTTAATTAGATTAAATTATGCATGATCGTTTTCGTACTATGTTTTATGAATTTGTATGTTTTAAGTGATTACATGAAATTCATGATTTAGTGCGAGCACGTTAATTGATTTAATGCGAGCATGCTAATTGATTTACTGTCGATTAAATAATTCGCATGTATGTTGTTTTTAATTTCGCTGGAAGCGCAAATGTACGCAATTAATTGTGTATAATTATCGGGCATGTGATTATGTGATTTAAATTTGTTTAAATTCGCATAAAAATTTTGTTTTCCGCTGCGTACACGTGTCTGATTTCCAACATTTTTTACATATTTAAACAATACAATACATTAAAACACAATAATCATAATTTAAACAATCGTAATTTTTACTTACTTATTGGTTTTGTATGTGCAGTCCATCAATATAACATACATGAACAACCGTAGTAACTTAATAGATTCGGGACATGCAAACATAACATCTGTAATTGTGTTGCTCGTTTCACTATCGACGCGATGCCAATATCGATACTCGCCTTGTTGAAAGTTATGCATCATAAACTGAATAACAGTCATGCCCTCCATTTCCTCAGATTTAATCTTGGCCAACTCATTGTAAACATGCTTCATAGAGGTTTGTATCTTCGGATCATCTTTTCTTAATCTATCCATGATTAGCATTGGCTTCACGTGAGAATTTCTCAATTCTTTAATTCTTGCTTTCTGTTGTGGAGTTATACGACTAGTCGTACCTTGTCCGTGAGGAAACAAAACCGGAGGATGAGTATGCCTGCCATCGCTGACAGTCAACTGCCATAATTCATCAAACCTTGACTTTTTGCCAATCAATTTGAACGGACAACCACATTTTTATGTTCCAGTGTTTCTAGGATCTTCCACATCGATATTCATTTGTCGGCCATGTACGTATTTGTCACACGTCAAGTATTGTGCATTCTCCCTTCTAGACTGACAAATCAAACGGTGACAATGACTAACTGCAGTTGATTTGGAGTTTGGCCCACTTGATTAATTCTTCCCTACTATCAAACACAATATCAACTTGGAAGAAGTGAGAGAAATCTTCATATTCGTTTCGCTCCAAAACCGAAGGATCAAAATAGAAATTGTCTTCATATGGCTGCGTAAAAAAAAAAAAAAAAGTTAGATACTTGCACAAAAAAATAAAATAAAAAAATAACTAGGGATTACGTGTAAAAGTACACGAAGTAAGTATATACATTTCGTGTAGTAATGTACAAAACGCATAACAAAACAGTTTACTGCTGTTTCGTGTTGTTTTACACGAAATAATAGCTATAATTTCGTAATGTTTAATACGAAAATACTGGAAAACACGAATATGGTGTTAATTTCGTACAAAACACCACGAAACAACTTGAATAATTTCGTGATATTCTACACGAAACGACTGAAAATCGAAACAAATCAGACAAAAACGTAATTTTTTACCTCATTTACGGGATCGATGTTGGCCATCTTGATAATTGTTGGGTTTTAACTGATTTCTACGAAAAGAAATCACGATCTACAAAAGTCGATATATTTGGAGGTTGAGAGGATTTTGAAAAAGGTTAAAGGGTTTCTGACAAATGAATTATTACACACTGTATTGGAAAAAATGCACTATGAATAGTAAGCCCCTTATTAGAAATCGTATCAACAAGGGTCATTTATACAAATGGTGTAACAGTGTAAACACGGTTAACAAAAATAATGTATTTTTTTTTATAATTTACAAAAGTTGTTTAAAACTCCACTAAAAGAGGCGATTTTTGGACAAAAGCTGACAAAAGAATTTTCCTAGCAGTAATATGCATATATATATATGCACAGATTTGTTTCGGTGGCAGTTTTTCATCAATCCGAAAGTTCGCCTCACGCTTCAAGAGGTAATTTTCGAACCCGTTTTTAATTGGTGTTAATTTAATATGATTAAATTAAATATTTATATTTGTAGTATGTTTTTCATGAATGTTGTTGTGTAATTGTCAATGCATGATTCGTGATTTACTGCGAGCAGGATATGTGATTTAATTAGCGAATTAATAATATGCATGTTGCTTTAATTTTCGCTGGAAGTATTTAGGTACGCAAAACATACTACAAATATAAATACTTAATTAATTGTGAAAGACGCCACAATCAATTGTGAAAGATTGGTTGATAAGTCGGGATGAATGCACGGAATCCTTTGATATGTTCGAAAAGTTCTTAAAGAGATAAAGAGAATAATCTCAAAATACGATGCACAATTCGTCTATAATAATAAGTCATATTGGCAACCTATTTATAAGTCCTAAAAAGACTCTTTTTTTCACTAGGAAAAAGACTCATACGTAAACTATAATAAGAAAACTAATAATTAAGCTAATTCTAACCATAAAACAACTCTAAACTAATAAAAACATAATAAATCATAACTAAAAACGTTCAAAATAAATTAAATAACTACTTCAAGTCGACTTCTCGAGCACCATTCTAAACTCGCGTTGACATTTTGGTTTATACATGCAGAAACTTCAAGCTCGATTTTGATACTGTTCCACTTCGAATCACTCTTAGCTCTAAACATGAAAGTTGTAGATCTTTGAGTTATCTTTCCGAAGGTGTCTTAGCAACCTTCACTGGATGTCGGAGAGAGTTATATTCCGAATGGTAAAGCTACCAGAAACATGCGAGAATTTTGGGATGCATGGATTTGGCTTGTCCAATGAATTTCCCTCTTTCATTTTCTTCCAATTCCACACTATGGAATCTTCAAAGGTCTGATTCAAATCTTTATGCTTCAAGGCCAACTTGAATAACTTCTGCAAACTCGTACGCTTTCGTTTCTTCAAATTCTTCATCTTTGAGCTTGTCAGGATCGTAATTTTCCCCATCCTTGAAAGGATTCGTCCCCGAATCCGGACAAATATCAAAAGGAGCATATAGAAACCATCTTTCACGATCACCCTTCAACAATTGTGGCTCATATTGTCTAGAATAGTCCAAAGCTAATACACTCAACTTTGTCACCGAAGTATAGTTAGTCACATTAGTACAACCAACTCCATCAATAATTAAACTGGAAGATACACATTCATGGCACTAAATAGGAACAAGATAATCTTCGTGTATTGCATAACCAACTTCATCAACATGCAAAATTGGACTTTGCACTCCGATTAGCTCGGCATTAACTTCGATGCATGGTTGGTTTGTATCATCCTCAACCTTTTTAAAAGGATTTGCCCTCGAATCCGAATCTTCTTTTCTTTTAACTAGTGGCACGAGTTTGCATTTTTCTTCCCCCTTGGACTCGAGGTCATGACTCTCATTTACCTCTTCCACAACTATCGTATCAACAATTTCCAAATTTTCTTGAGTGTTCTCGTCATCAAAAGCTTTACAAGTATCATCATTTCCATGTGATGGTAAAGACTCACCCTTTCTCTTCAATTCCTCGTAGACCAACCACAAATTCATGAACGGCTTGTTCAAACACTCACAAGCGACATGACCGAAATCCAAACACCAAAAACATTTAATATCATAAGTTGTGAGAGATTGTAAATTTGAGTTACCTCATTCTTTCGTCTCGAATTGAATCTCGGTTTTGAATTGCTCTCTTTTGGGTTTTTGTAATGGTTCTCCCGTTTGGCTTGCTGAAGGTCTCCTATGTGATTTCCAACTCGATGAACTTCTTTCTTCTAACATAGTAGCTTTCCTCAACCTTTTCAATTGTATTTCCCTAAAATATTGTGAAGGAACAAACCTCCTTTTGATAATTGCCTTCACAAACTCCCAATCTTCAATTGGCAGTTTGCCACAACGGCGCATAGTTAAGACAAATGGGTCCCACCAAATAATTGAATAGTCAATGAACGTTTCAACGGCAAGTTTCACCTTCTTCTTTATAGAATAGTCAGGACAATCGAATACGAGCTCAACATTTCCTTCCCATTGAACGTACGAATAATGTTCACTCTTACCTTGGAAATATGGTATTTTCAAGTTGATTGAACAGAAGTTTTGATCTAATCCATCTCTTTCTTGACCACAATATCCTTGACTCAATCTATGCAATCTGGACTCGTCCCGTAATCTCCCTCCTTGATGTGTAAGCGATCATACCGAAACTTCCATCATCATAAAACTTTATCACGGTGGGGCATAACAGGTTGGTGAAAGTCACATCTTACGTGTTGATCTCGAACATGTCGAACATTGCGCAGTTCATTAATTTGATCATGGAGTCTCTCAAACACCATATGTAGGGGCTGGAAGCGTTTCTCCAATGTCGACATACTAATTTGCTCCATCCTTTCTCATTTACAACCCTTCCCGGACATAGTCAAAGAAAAAATTTCCTTGCATATTTTTTTTAATGACACTTACAAAACATAACTTAGACTCTAAGCAACTGACAACAAAGAAGAACACATCGATTTTTTTTTGGTTTGTAGACTCGAAAGAACACAATTGAAGAGAAGAAGAAAAGAAACTACAAGACTCAAGAAAGACAGACGAAAACAACATAGACAACGATGACACGAACAAAGGCAACGATACACAAACAATATGAGGCCAATGTGCAATATTGATGAAATTAGAATTTAATAGATGGAAGTGATTTAAATTATCTCATGAGGGATATAAAATTAAGGAATAATTTTTTTGCAAAACTGTTTTTGGTCGAGACATATGTGCATTTAAGTCCACGTCCTTAGGATTATATACAATTCGCCCATTTAAATAACCGGGCCAAAACTTTAAAATATATTTGTAGGCTTGTACAAGAAAAAAAAAATGATATTATTAGTGAAATTTCGATATCACCCTGGCCTAGGGGTGGTAAACGAATTGAGCCGACTCGTAAGCTTGATGAGCCGGCTCGAAAAAAGCTCGAGCTCAAGCTCGAACTTTTTGACGAGTCGAGCTCGAGTTTTTTTTAGTTTTTCGTGAGCTCACGAACCGATTCGCATGCCTTATTTTTCTATTTTTATATATTAATTTTTTTTAAATTGTATAATTATAAAATATTATAGAAATAATATAAAAAGAACATGTAAATATTAGAAAATATATATAATTACAGTTTATTGTTTATTTTGTAATTTTATTATTATAATCTAAATAGTATTTAATAATAATAATAATTTAAAAAAAACTCAAAATGAGCTCGAGCTCGACAAAATGGACGCGAGCTCAGCTCGAGCTAAAAACGAAATTCGACGAGCTCAAGTCCGACAATATAACTCGAGCCTGCCAAAACAAGCGAGCTCGGCTCGTTCATACACGGGAAAACAAGAGTTGTGGGTACAGAGAACTAGAGGGGAACAAAAGTAATTATTGAATAAGTCAGGGGTCTTAAACCCTAAATTTAACCGAGAACTCTGAACAAAAACTTCTACAGATTTTCGCTAAATACAAGTACTCTTTTGCACTGACTACCAACAGCGTAGAATCTAACATACAAACGCAGAAGCAGCATAAAGAAGGGATTGAAGTGAATATGCATATTCTTCGTAGAAATCTACTGCAGAGATTTACCTCCAATTTCTTCAATCAAGTTCGTACTTTCCCCATTTTTCCTTCTCCGCATATGTACGATTTTTACGGAATCATTACTTCTTCTACGCTTGTTGATTTTCCGATTTTTTTTTTTTTTTTTTTTTTTTTTTAATTTCATAATACGGACGATTCAATTGAGTAATCAGTAGTTTGAACCGACGAAATCTTCTCTGTAGTTGCATTTTCAATTTTTATAGTTAGCATTTTGATGAAGAGAGAAGATTTGTGGTTATTTGAATTTAATGAATACACAATTTCTAGGGTATTGTTTGGCATAAAGTTTGAATCTTTTAATTATATATTGGATCTTTCTTCTTATGCATTACAGGAGAAACCCCTCTTTAGTATTACATTTTTTGATAGTGAAAATATATTGAACTTCTTTCCACATATTTTCCAATTAGGCAGTTAAGGCCAGAAAATTATCTAGTAGAACAGGTGTTGATGTGGGGCAACCGACATCCAACACTCATCCTCAGGTATCGTCTCTTGAATACTCGTGTGTCATTTCACTATCATGATTATATTATTTATTTTCGGATGAAAAAGTTGTTTAATCTTTTCATTTTAATCTATCTTTTTTTTTAGTTATTAAAGGAAGGGGAGATTACTCCTGGCATAAGCAGTGATGAGTATCTATGGAGACGGAAGAAGTTGTTGGAACTTCTTCCGGAGAATTCTTTGGCGATTATTGCATCTGCCCCTGTGAAGATGATGAACGATGTTGTGCCTTACACTTTTCGACAAGATGCCGATTATCTCTATATAACTGGCTGTCAACAGCCGGGTGGCGTTGCTGTTTTAGGTCATAACTGCGGGTTATGCATGTTCATGCCAGAAGCGAGTCCCCATGTAAGCCGAAGATTATATTTGTCCATCTGTAGTTAAGTTAGTTTAGATTAATCTTTAATGAAATAAAATATTTCAGGAAATTTAATAGTATGTATTGTTGTAACTATATATTTTCTAAGTAAAATTACTTAAGCCCTTTAACATAAGGGAATGCGGAGTTGTTGGTGGTTTTCTGAGAAGCTTACAGCATAGTTTTTTTCCTCATAATTTCTGACTGACAGAATTGCAAATTATTTCAATTTATTGGAAAAGATTTATTGTCTATGAATATCAGTTATTTCTATCACTCTACCGTAAAAACAAGAATTAGTAGTTGATGAATCTGTTTCAGGATATTATTTGGCAAGGTGAGGTTGCTGGAGTTGATGCAGCTCTAGGCACATTCGAGGCTGATGAAGCATACCCGATAAGTGCTTTGGATAAGGTGAATTGAACTCTTCTCTTCGGTTTCATTTGGATGATAATTTTTTAGGGAGGGATTTTAAATCCAAAATAGAAAATCCATGGAGCTGGTTTGGATTGAGTCATTTTACAACGTATTTGAAATCCTTAGCTCTAATTTGAAGTTAATTTTTAAGCAATTGTGGTGGATCAAATTCCTCCCATTTGAAATCTTTAGCTCTAATTATACGTTTTACTCTTATTATCAATCATACAGTACCATCATATATGTGTGTGTAATAGAAGAGGGAACTACATAAACTGAGCCAATCAAAACCTATCAATTTAGATGAATAAAATATTCAACAATCTTAAGGTGGTGCAGTATTCAGAATCCAGTGAATTTTAAATTTGATCTTGATTTCACAAGTCTCATTAATTCATGTTCTATCCCTGTACGTGGAAAATACGAGTTCATTTTGCATTTTTTTTATTCATGTGGTTAATTTTTTTCAAACACTATTTTGCAGATCCTCTCAAGCATGATAAAAAACTCGGACAAATTATTCCATAATGTGAATACAGCAAATTCTGCTTATACGGAGTTGGCGCCTTTTCAACGAGCAGCCTCCGATGGCAAAGTGAATGACTTTTCAGTTTATAGTCATGACGCACGGTGGATCAAATCCGAAGCTGAGCTTAATTTGATGAGAAACTCTGCGTCTATAGCTTGTCAGGTACTAATGCTAAAGTTAGGAGTTTGTAGTCAATTATTCAACCACTCGGATTATACCTTGTGACTATCTTAACTTTGATATAATGATAATTCAATTTACTGCAATAAAACCATCAGTAAATACTGAATCGCTCTATCTTAATTGATTTTTTATTTTAAAGATCCTCTGTTAATAATATTCAGCTGGTATTAAGAAAAGAATATATTTATATAAGCATGTTTTTAATGTCAAAATGACAAACATAATGTATTGCTATCAATAATTCGTATGCAATTTGAAAATGGTGATTATGGGAAGATTTATGAACGATAATAGTTTAATTTGTGCTAATACTTAGACCACATGCTCAAAGTATATGATAGTCCGTAGTTTTCATTATGTTAATATATTTAAATTCTGACATGTTGTATTGTTGGATAGTCTCTTCTGCAGACGATGCTGCATTCAAAATCATTTCCTAATGAGGGTTTGCTGTCAGCCCAGTTTGAATACGAATGCAAAATGAGAGGTGCCCAAAGAATGGCGTAAGTGTTATTTTATTTTATTTTTTTAATTTTATATATACTTATTGAAGTTGGCTATAGGCAGAAGATGATTGTATATCTCACATCCGAGGTTTTAATTATATTTGTTTAGGTTCAATCCCGTGGTTGGTGGTGGTCGTAATGGCAGTGTCATACATTATGCTAGAAATGATCAAACAGTGAGTGATATTTAATTATTTATGTCTGATTTTTTCATGTTTATAACGATGTAAGTAAAAGCTGTAATAACTTGTTTAACAGATTGAGGATGGGGACCTGGTTCTCATGGATGTAGGATGTGAGTTTCATGGTTATGTTAGTGATCTTACTCGTACATGGTCGCCCTGCGGAAGATTTTCTTCAGTTCAGGTAGTTATCTTTCTCGTTGTCGACTTGCCACCAAACTCTTAAAATGGATAAAACAGAAAGAAATCCGTACGCTAGTTTCTTTTCGTTATAATAGGATTTTCTGTCTTTGGTTGACTGATTATTTGCTGGATTAGAAATACGAGATGCTACGTTTGCCGATATAGATGATTTCTTCAGAAAGCAATGGTCTATGATATTGCATTATTAAATCACTCGGAAACAGATCTAGAGAATCTTTATTGCACATTTTAAACACGTAGCAGTAACTTAATTTTTCGCCCAAAATGAAGTCTCGGGAATTTCAAATCGAGCAAGAGAGTAAAAATATCGATTTGAAACATATTGCAGGAAGAACTTTATAACCTTATATTGGAAACAAATGAAGAATGTTTGAGACTCTGCAAACCAGGCACGACCATTCGGGAGATACACAACTATTCGGTAAAAAAACTGATCTAACTACCTCTTTATTGTATTCTTGATCTTTTTAGATCAATGGATTGATCATATATTTTTGTGGTTTTTGGGTAGGTAAACAAGATGCGGAAAGGATTCAAAGAGCTCGGAATATTGAAAAGAGATAACCCTCAGCATTACCAGTTGTTGAACCCAACCAGCATAGGTTCGTTTCTACTATTTCATTTACGATATATTTGTTTGCAGATAAAATAGTTGCCAAAAATTCATATAGTTATTGATATAATTGGGTCTAATTTATTATACGATCAAGGTCATTATCTTGGAATGGATGTCCATGATTGCTCCAAAATCAACTACGATCGCCCTCTGAAACCCGGTGTTGTAAGTTTCACATGATCAAAATATTTTGGTTTAGAACTGTATCTTTCATGCGATATTTATAAGCACAACGTATCTCAATCTGCTATCTTTCTGGGAACCCATTTCCTACGTTTTATTTATTTGTTTATTTGTTGGGTTTGATGTGCCGTAACAAATGTGCTATTTCCATCGAGAAATTTGTACTTTGAAGTTATACTGATTTCGCTATTTCATTTGTGTTGCTATATGTGTATTTCTTATGTAACTTTTGCAATGGGCAGGTAATCACAATTGAACCAGGGGTTTACATCCCTTCAAATTCTGATGCTCCCGATAGGTACGTTTGTTGCTTTACCAAATTGATCCTTTCCGTTGACTTGCTTTTATTTTTTGTATTTTTTTATTTTCGGAGTTAGATCTCTCTTTCCATCTCTATGTCCATACGAATCATTATAACTCAATTAGAGCATGAAATATATGCAGGTATCGAGGCATTGGGATCAGAATTGAAGACGAAGTTCTCATCACAGAGTCGGGATATGAGGTAATTACTTCATATCATGTTATCGTAAATGTTACTCCCTCCGTTCCAAATTAACTATCGCTTTGGGGATTTTTTTCTTGTTCCATATTATCTGTCACTTTTGAATTTCAATAATGCATTAGTTACCATTTTCTCAATTTGTGCCCTTGTCACTCTTAAGTAGTTGAGAGATAATTAATGGAAATAAAATTAATGAGAAGGGTATTTCACTCACGCTAAACGTGTTTTTTCCTTCCTAAAATCCATGCATATTTTATTAGTTTTATGTGCGCAACAACCCAAAACGAGACTTATTACAGAGGGGAGGGGGAGTACTTACTATGCTGTTGCAACCTTCTAAAATCCATATAAATAAATATCGATAAATTTTATTTATTCGAAATGTTATTCATGAGTAGGTACTTACCGGCTCAGTGCCGAAAGAAATTAAGCACATGGAATCATTGCTCAACAATTTGTGTAACGGGATGGGGACGGAGACTCAAAACACCGTGAGAACGGCTTCTAGTTGAGCACTTCTTATAATTCAATATTCAATTGGAAATGGCAACCAAGCTATATTTTCCAATTTCGAAATTGCTTTTTGTTATGCATTCTTGGCCCAGAAGCTTTCTAGCCCTGCTCCTGCATTTGTTACGGTATTTCTATTTTGTAAGTATTTTTCAGGTTATTTATTTATTTATTTATTTTATAATTCATAAAGTACTCTTGATATGATTAAATTTTGCTGCCATCAGTGGCTGTATGTGTAAATAACGCCCTTTAGATTTTTATCCATTCCCAGAAAGGTCTTTGTATAGCTTTTTTTTTTTTTTTTAAATTCAATATGCTTTTTAACCATTTATTCAAGATACTTGTTGATATATATATATATATATATATATATATATATATATATATATATATATATATATATATATATATATATGTTTCCTTCGATTTTCCTTTCCCTCTATGAATGCTGAAATTTTATTGATACGAAAAAATAGAGTGTACAGCTCGGTATGAAGCTTGTGAGAGTGGCGAGTGCGATTCGTTTGCCAGAGCATCTACAACATGGTTTTGTTAACTGAAGATACGAGTTATAATCTCTTCCAGCTCCTTAAAATTTCCAGATACCCAGTACGCGAGAATGTTTTTTGTTTCTTTACCTAAATTCTTAGCTTGTTGAAGATCCAAAAATAGTATACAGTTAAATTTCTATAAATTAATACAGTTGGGACCATCAAAATTCCATTAATTTAGCGAAATATTTACTTATTGATAAATTAATAATTATTAATTTATATATTAATTAATAATTTATTAATTTATGAAATTATTTTTATTATTATTTTCAATAAATACATGTTTAATTTTTTTTACGTATATATTATTCATTGTACCATTAGTTCAATGCACAATAGAGCCGGTTTTAGGAACGAAATCTCTTAAAGCAGTAATCGTATTGAACAATTTTATGTTGAGTTATGCGAAAGCTATACCATAAGTTCTAACAATGTTAACAAAAGTGAGGTAGGAGATTGATGGTAATGTGAATTTTAACAAGAAACAAAAGACAATTAAATTATATTTTATTAAACCTTCATAGATCTATAAAATATGTATTGTACCATGTAATTTACGAATTATTTTTATGAATTATTAATTTATATATTATATGGGGCTTCTTAAAATTTTCGAATGTGTATCATCTTATAAATTTAGCGAATTATTAATTTAGCACGTTGTCTCCGACTTGGGACTGGGAACATTTATTATTTAAGCAAAGTTATTAATTTATTGAATATTAATTTATCGAGGTTCTACTGTACTAGTTAATGTCATCATGGGTTTTAACCTTAATATTTAATTTGACATCATCCAATCTTTTTGGGCAAATTATGAAAAACCCCCGAGGTATGGTCTAATTACGAAAACTTTCCTCAGGTTTGCGAGATTACGAAAATCTCCTTACGGTATGTGGTCGTCTTACATAGTCCCTCTACGGTGTTACTTTTGATGGAATATTTTTGATTCCATAGAATATTTCTCTAAAAATGCCATTTTTGCCCTTGGGAGTAATATTAAGCATATTAATTACTTAGAGCATCTCCAAGAGCTAATGCAAACTCATATTTTACACAATATAAACAACCAAAAGCAAAAAAGTGAGCTCCAAGAGGAAAATGCAAAAGTAATAGATTGGCCAAATTGTAACTTTGGTTTCTCAAATTTGAGAAACTAAAACTACAATTTAGCAAATGTAGGAAATATTAAAATAATATTATATTGTACTTTATAATAGATTTAGCATTAAAAAATATTTTATATTGTCTTGTTTTTTTGCAAATAAATGTACTAAAGATGAAATTTAATTACTATTTTACTTAGTATAAATAATAATTAAAATAAAAAAAAATATCATTTTAATTACAATAAAAAAATATTTCATAAAGAATTATAAAATTTTAATGTTTATTAATATATATCAATTAAGTTATTGAAAGTTATTTTATCAAATTTAAAATTAATTTTGTATACTTATTAATTAGTATTATAAGTTATTAGTATATTAACCAAAATAAAAGTCAAATAAATTTGTAAAACAAAGATTATTAAAGATTCAACATATAAATATATTGTTTAGAATAATACACATCTTTATTAATATTTATAATGATTGAATATCATGTAGAAACTATTTAATAAAAAATAATTAAATAAAATAATTGTGTAAAATATAAACAATGTTGTTGGAGTGCAGCGTTAAAAGTGGAGTGCTAAAACACTGTTCGTTGGTTATATTATAGATATAGACAACCGTTTTTAAACAAACTGTTGGAGATGGCCTTAGGGGCTGAATTGTAATATTATTTAAAAATTCATAGTTATTCTTAATTTTAAGACTATAACGTATTTCAACATGATCCAACAAAAAAATTCAACATGAAATCCAACATGATTCAACAAAAAAATTCAAACAACCAATCGCAAAAAAATACAAAACACAACTAAAAAAAAACTAAATCAACTATATTTACAAAATAACGAATATACAAAAAAATATAATCGATTTATACAAATGGGATGATATATTGACAATGGCAGAACAAAAATGCACCACCACTAAGCCCAAGTCCAACTACACGTGGCAAATAAGTAAATAATAAATAAAAATCCAAAAATGAATTAAAAAAAAATGAAGTTGATTAACGCTAATCAACTACTGAACATAGTCGATTAATCTTAATCAACTACCGAACGTAGTCGATTAAGGATCTAACCTTCATGAACTTCCTCCATCCGTGCCGTCCTCCACACGATCTACCCCAAAAAAACTAGATCTGCATCCCATCGTCACCACGCTGCCGCCGCACCACACCATCACCATCACCATCCTCCACCATCAACGCCGTCCCTAGCTGAACATTAAAGCTGTTAATGTTGTTATTTTGATCGACTTTGATTACGCGGCCAACGAAGGTGTGCTCAAATCTACCTTAATGCAGTTAAACTCAATTTGATAATTGTAACCCCAATTTAACTTCAATTTAATCAATTTTGACCACAAAAATTCAATTTTGACTTTTTCTTTTTAAATTTTATTTTTTCTGAACATTTTTTTTTGCGTCGGTTTCCGGCATTAACTTTTCATTCTTTTTGTTTTTCTTTTTGTATTTTTAGTGTTATCATTTTTTTTACGTCTGCCACTGAACGTTGACTGTAATTGTACTGTCACTAACAGTAATTATACTGTCGCTGTCAGTAATTGTACTGTCATTGACAGTACATTTACGTAATTGTAATGTCCTCGACAATACTATTACTGTCAACTACAGTAATATTATTATTTTCTTGGCTTTTTTTTTTTTTTTTTTTGATTTTTTGACAAGTCAACATAATTATATTACTGTCGTTGACGGTAAAATTATTGTAAACACAATAATATTACTATCAACCACATCAATATTATTTTTTTTGGCCTTTTTATTTTGTTTGATTTGTTGACCGATTAACGTAATAACATTACCGTCTACTATTGTAATATTACTATAAACACAATAATATTACTGAGGTTGACGGTGTCGTTACAATAATATTACTGTGGATGATAGTAATATTATTGTCAACCACATCAATATTATTTTTTTTGGCTTTTTATTATGTTTGTCTTTGTTGAACGGTCAACACATTAATATTACTCTATTACACAATAATAGTGATGTTTATTGTGTTAATATTACTGTGCTAGAGAGTAATATAGCAGTATTGTATTACTGTGTCAAACTGTAGTATAGTTACGTAGACACGGCCAGGGGCCGGGTTTGATCCGGACCCAAACCGTGGACTGCCCCGCCCTGTTGACCGTTGACCGTTGACCCGGACCCGCCCATACACGGGTCAGTTTCGGGTCCCCAGTTTCAAGACCCGAGACCCGACGGGTCCACCCGGCGGGTCTACCCGTGGGACCCGACCCGAGCGCCCGACCCGAGAACCGAGTGTAAATTGCAGTTTTTTCCCTGCGGGTCGGTTTCGAGTCCTCTAAAACTCAGACCCGGACCCGGACCCGACCCGCCCCGGGGCCGTGTCTATAGTTACGTCTTAAACAGTAATATAGTTAATATGACGGTCAACCATAACAATGTTACTGTTTAAACATACAAAAAGGCCGTCGGATACCAGCATTGACTGTCGGTCAGTTGCGGTAGAAAGAAGAAAAAGAGAAAATAAAATAAAATAAATTAAAAATGTCAACGCCAGAAACCGGTGTCGACTAAACCGACAGAAAAAACAGAAGAAAAAAAAGTCAACGACGGAGACTGGCGGCGACAGGCGAAATTATACCCAAAATTGAGTTTCGGGTTAAAATTTAATAATTTATAAAATTTGGGTTCAAATTGATGTTAAATTGAATTAAATGATGAAATAAGAACATATTAAAATGTGATGGGGTATTTTAGTCTTTTACACACCTCTGGATAATGGTAGGGGTGTGCGCGGGCCATAAACCCGCGGGTTCTATCAAAACCCGCCCTCGTCCCGTCAAACAACGGTTCTTGATTTTGAAGAACCAAACTTGTGGGTTTTTAACGGGTTTACGATAGGCGGGTCCATGGCGGGTTTGTAGTAGGACCCAACCTTTACGGGTCGAAACCTGTTATCGTCTAAACTATTTTTTTATATATATAATTTATAAGTTTTACGGGAGAATAATTAGAAACTAAAATGAATAACCTAAAATTTTAAATTGAAACCAAACATAAATAATGTAAATGTCAAGAGTAAATAAAAATTAATATAAACTAAAAATAACTAATTCATAACTTAAAAGACAAAATTTAAATAAAATAAACATAGCTTTTTCAAGTATAACCAACGCTATCCAGCTCCATTCGACACCATTTTCTTCCTTTTTTTCTCTGTCGTGTGTTGATTGTTGTATATATATGTTTTTTTCCCTACATTTTCTTAGAGATTTTCATAATCTTTATAGCTATTACTTTCACAATTATAGTTTAGTTGATTTATGTATTTGATTCATTAGAGATACTTTATTTATTCATTAATATTATTAATTTATTATACTATATAATGTAAATAAAACGACGTCGTTTTGTATGGCGGGGCGGGACGGGTTTCACGGGTATTAAAAAAATTTGAACCCGTCTAAGACCCAAACCCACGGTTCTTCACCATTTTAGGACCCAATCCTATTGATGGATCTATCCGTCCGGTCCCAACGGGGCGGTTTTTCACGGGTTTGACGTGTATAGCGGGTTGATGGGTCCGACTTGCTCACCCCTATGAATAATTACCCCATGATTAGCTTATTTGTACTGTGCCCGAACAATTATTGAAGGGTATAATTGGTAGTTTACTTCTATTAATCACCCAACCTAATAACTAAAGGGGTTTTCTCAAATTAGAAAAAGAGAGAGAGAGAGAGAGGGAGTTCTCCCTTACATGAATTTTTCAAATGAGGGGGTTCTTGCTAATTTTCTCGATTAAATGACTCCAAATGGATAGGGGTTACAAATCCCTCAAAATTGCTCAAAAAACAACTAAAAATGGTATATATAGATTTGAAGTGTTTTGTCAAATCATTTCATCCAAACAATTTCAATAGATTTGTTAGTATGGATTTCAAATCTCTCAATCCAAATGCATCCTAGATTCTAAGAATATTTTTCATATATTTCCATTTTACCACTATAACTGTAGGTTCTGCAAGTGTTATAATTTTAATTTATTAATGGCTACTTGTAATATTTTTGAATAATATAAAATTTTAAATATTTTAGTCCGTTTATAATATCACATTACTGATTTTTTGTTTAACTCCATTTGCTTATTCTTTTTTAGTTCAAAAGGAGGATAGTTACTAGTACCTCAATTCTTTTTTCGGATGCCTCGAACCCATAACTAAATAGGTCATAGGTGCAAGATGCTTAACAAAAAAGAAAAGAAAAGAAACAAAAAGCAAATTACCTAAATTTATGGTGCGAATTTGTTTTTATGTCAAATTGAGGTGCAAATTACCAAATTTAATTACATTTCATTGAATCCTCTAGTAACACATTTTAAAATTGTCATAATATTTTTTTTTCGGCAATTTGCTAGACACTCTTCAAGTAGGGATGACAAAAAACCTTGTCCGCTAGCTATCAATAGGTATCCGCCCATTTAAAATCACCTATCGAAATCATTAGGGTTTTGTAATGATTTTAGTAAAAGAAATACAAATTGTCTCGCAGTCTTGGAGTAGTTATGGTTTCACCCTTCAGGTAATGAGTAACCGACCATTTAATATATATTTTAAAAATATATATTATTTTTATTCAACATAACATGAATAAAAGTGAATTCGTAAAATTTTAAATAATATAGGAAGAATATAAGTTAAAAAAATTTCCATATTATGTTTGAAATAAACTGTTTGGTTAAGGTTTACGAAATAAATATTTAGGTATGGTCCTTTAAAAAAATGGCTATTACAATAAGTTCACGGTGGACAACTTATTCCAATCTAGGTCCACTATTCTTTCCCTAAAACTCTTTTACAAAACAAATCAGACAAAGCCGAGAGGTGTGTGAATGACTACTCTAACTCCACACGTTTTATTATATTTCAATTTTATCAATTTAACCCCAATTTGACCACAATTTAACCATTATTCAATTTTGTCCATTCACCCAATTTTGACCGTCACTGCTGTTAATTGCTGGTCTCCGACGTCGACATTTGTTTTTCATTTTGAAAACATTTTTTTTCCACCGCCGGCCACCGACTAGCTGTCAACGCCAGTCCCCGGCCGGGTTGACTTTTTTTTTTTGAAAACTTTTTTTCCCGCTGCGGCCGCTGACATGCGGTTAACGCCGGTCTTCAACGATGTTGACTTTTTTCTTTAAATTCTTTTTTTCCAAAAATTTTTTTGGCCTCGTTAAAAACGATAATATTAAAGTTGACAACAATATTAACTATATTGATGTTTAACGCAATAATATAGATAATCTAAATAATATATAAAAGTTGAATATCAATTGTTTTGTTCACTTTATTTGATACCAAAGATTAAGAATATCAATTGCTTTATTTAAAATGTATAATGATCGTATATACTATATATTGTATTCCACTAATAAGTATTTCTCTATAACTCTAATAAATATAATTACGTACATATCTAGAGAAACTCTAACCCAAAAGTATCAAAATGAGTTTGCAAATATTTATGTGATATTTAATTTACTCATCCAACAAACTCCCAAAGCCAACTCCAGAAATTGCATATTAACCCCAAATCTAGAATCGGTAATTGCGGATTGCACCCTAGGAGATAGAGATGCAATATCCGCCAAACTCCACTTCCAAACCAATTGTAGAAGAAAGTCATGGACGAAAATCGGAAACACCCAACTTATCACCTATATATGGAGCCCGGGCCTCCCTCGCTAAACTCATTTCAGAGAAATATTATTGATTTGACTTATGAGAATACGCCCAATTAGCCAATCGATCCGGGACCGTGTTTTTTTTGCCTCACGGCGTTCTGGAACGAGAAGGAAGGCTCCATCTCTTTCACGCATTGTCGAAAAATATACTCAAGCTCCCATGCAACGTTCTTGGTCCGAATTGCATTGATGACCAGTAAGGAATCACTTTCCACTGTAATTTGTGAGAGATCCAAAAGCTTGCACAATCTAAGACCATGAACCACCACCGACAATTCCGCAAAGTTATTGGTGCCAACCCCAAAATCTTTTGAGAAACTAGAAACTATACCTCCTTCCGAATCCCAAACAATCCCACCGCCCGTACATTCCTCCGCCGTGGAAGAGCCATCAGTATTAAGTTTAAAAGCACCACCCTTGGGCGGCTCCCATTTGAACCATTTTCCACATTTATAGCTAGGCTGCACTAAACGGATTCCAATGACTTGGAGTTGGAGACTTTGAAGCTTCGTAGATGGTTGTAAAGGAACATGATTGATGACCAGGTGGTGAATGTGAGAAGACACTCGACGAATAATATTTTCTCTATGCATCACTCCCCCATCATAAATTACTTTAATTTGCATCAAGCCACCCACAACTTACGAAGAATATGACACCCAGTAGAGGTTCTAACCATTGTGTACTCAGTTTGTATTTGTATTTTTTAGTATGAAAATGGTGGTTAAAGGTTTTGATAGCCCATTTAATAACCCCACTCGAGGTGCTCTCACTTTAAATAGTTTACACTAACAAATACAATATATATCGGCAAATCAGCAGTTTCTACGATCTATTTTTAGTTACAAACTCAATAAGATATTTATATATTACATAAAAGACTACAATTATATGAGAAGTAATTGCATAATTATGTGTGTGTCTTTCCAAATTGAGAAAGCTTGATGCAATGTTGTTGCTATGGATGGAAAAAAATATTAAATATCAAGTATCATAGTATCCCAACGAAATATTATCTAACAAATACCAAATTAGTGGTTATCGTTTCATTTGGTACGATATTGGTACCATATCAATCTTATACGAGATTTATTACAATCCATTATAGTGTTTGTAGAGATATTTAAATATTCTGACTAATTTTCCAAATTAAAATTTTAAACCATATGAAAATAAAAATATTAATGTAAGGTATTATAGCGTAAATAATTGATTATTAAATATTTTAACATTTTATATATCTCAATATATTTTGGTATTGGAATACATGAGTTCTTTTGTCTAACTTACATGTTATGTATCTAAAGTAGTGAAATTCTTAAGTTTTCTACTTCTCCATCATATATAATAAGATAAATTTATTTTCTTAATTTTCATTTTTAAAATATTTGTAAAATAAAATTATTTATTTTATAATGTTTATAAGAATCTAATATCGATTCCATATTACTATATTTTTTTGGAAATCACAATATATTCGACTGATTTACACAAAAATTCAATTAATTTTGTTATTCCATTTATTATTTATAAATGCATTTCATAGTGACTTTTGTTTGCTTGAAATTTGATCTATTTTCATTAGCATGAGCCTTTATGTTGGTTTCTAACATATGGTCAATGTGTAAACCAATTTAAGTTATCTATTAACAAGGATAAATTACGAAAACCCCCTGAACTAAGGCTAATTTAATAAAAACACCCCCACATATTCAAAATTACCGAAATTCCCTTGATGTTTGTTTCCGTCTTACTTCGATCCCCTTACGGTATGATTTTTCACAGATTTTTTTTATTACGTGGAATATTCTTTGAAAAAAAAAGTTGATTCTAACCTACATTTTTGTATGGTACTTTTTAAAGACAAAAATTTCCCTCAGGAGGACTATACACGGAATCTTTATTCTTCTTAAATAATACATTCACCACTTTTTAGAATTACCATTACCTCCCATAAGGGTAATTTTTGTATTTAAAAAGTAGGAATAAATAAATGTCACGTTCGCAAGGGTAAAATCCACATTTTTGTAGATATTACATGGAATAGAATAAAGTCTGTAAAAAATCACACCATAAGGGGGTCATGTAAGACTGAAAAGTGTGAATGAGAAAAGTATTGGTGGGACAGATTTTCTAGCACAACCTACACAAAGGGGAACAAATATTTTTCAGTTTGGCACTCGGAAAGAAAGTACTAATCACAGGTTGGACCTGGGGCAGAATAAGGAGAACGAAATTGGTTTTAACTGGGACGATAGTACTTTGTTTACTCATTCGATCCAGCTCCATGCAAGTGACAACAATGGCCAACCTAATCGACGACAAGTCAAAATATCAAGCAAGAACAGGAAAAAAAAGGCTGAAGAAGCGGGTATAAGGGAAGTAGAGAGAGTAGGAAAACGACAGCAGCTGGAGTTACATGACGAGGGTTATAGCTCAACGGCGGAGACTGCATCGCAGTCCCGCCGAAATCAATGAGTTGCATATTCTGGAATTGTCAAGGGCTCGGGGCTCCCTTGACAATTCATACGCTCGGGGATATTCTCCGAGATCATCGGCCCCTGCTGGTGTTTCTCTCGGAAACGAGGGCAACACACCAATTAATTGATAAAGTAAAGAACAAATGGAATCTCAATGGGGTGAGTGTGGACAAGATTGGCAATTCTGGCGGTCTAGCATTAATGTGGCAAAAAGATATTGATGTAAGGTTAATTAGTTATTCGAACAACCATATTGATGCAGAGGTTTATGAGAGGAACCACAACAGCAAATGGCGAGTAACTGGATTTTACGGCTATCCGGAATATGATCGAAAATACTTATCATGGGAACTCATTCGTAATTTAAGAGACCATCGCACTATGCCGTGGTTATTGGGTGGGGATTTCAACGAAATACTGAGCAATAGTGAGAAAACCGGGGGCAATGCAAGGCTGCCAGCTTCTATTCGGGCTTTTCGTAATACTTTGGAAGATTGCAGCTTGTCTGATTTAGGTTTTGAAGGCTCGCCTTTCACGTGGTCGAACAATAGACAAGCCCCGGATACAGTTAGGTGTAGATTAGACAGATGTTGTGCAAATAATGGTTGGATTTCACTTTTCCCCCGCGCAAGTGTCTATCATTTGAATTACTCTGGATCAGACCATTTGCCAATAAAAGCTATACTTCGTGACTCAAAAAATGTCCAAACTTTGCGGAAGAAGAGACCATTCAGATTCGAAGCTACCTGGTTTAGAAGAGATGATTGTGAGGATATCATTAACCAATATTGGGCTAATAATCAGTGTATTGATCCGATCGAGGATCTTCTCTGGAAAAATAATGAGTGTCGTATTGCTTTGATCAATTGGAGCAAAAATACACTAAGGCAGCCTCAGGTTCACATCAAATCTCTCCACACAAAAATTCGTGAGCTGCAAGAAGCCGATCAAACCGAAGCTAGAAAGGAGGAAATTTCTAAACTCCGGGCTGCACTGGAGAAAGCCTATGAGGATAATGACATGTATTGGCGTCAGAGAAGTAAGATTCAATGGATACGGGAAGGGGATCGGAATACTCGGTTTTTTCACTCCAAAGCTACTATTAGGAACCGAACTAACAGAATGTCCAAGCTGAAAGATAATGAGGGTTGTTGGAAGGACAAAGAAGCGGATATCGAACACATTATCACAGAACATTTTGAGCAGATTTTCAAATCCACTAATCCTAGAGAAGATGAGATAGATGAGGTGCTGGAGAACATTGAGACGAGAGTTACCGGAAGCGCGAGTCAACTTCTGTCTATGCCTTTCACTTCGGATGAGATAACCCGAGCCATTGCCCAAATGGCTCCTCTGAAATCCCCTGGTCCCGATGGGTTACCCGTTATTTTCTATACTAAATACTGGCATATTTTAGGGTCTAATGTTTTATCTTGTGTATTAGATTTTTTGAATAATCGAAAGCTTCCTTCTGCCTTGAATTTTACTTATATTGTCTTGATTCCTAAGGTGAAAACACCTGAAAAAATCTCTGAGTATAGACCGATTAGCCTATGCAATGTCATTTATAAATTTGGTTCTAAGGTATTGGCTAATCGGCTTAAATTAGTTCTCAATGATTTGATCTCTCCCACACAATCTGCTTTTGTCCCAAAAAGACTTATCACAGATAATGTTCTTGTAGCTTTCGAGATCAATCATTTTATTAAACTCAGCTCTAAGAGAAAGACAAATTACATGGCTTTAAAACTGGACATTAGCAAAGCATACGATCGGATTGAATGGTCTTTTCTTAAAAAAATTCTCCTTCGCTTTGGCATCCCTACTGTTTTTGTTGATCTCATAATGCTTTGTGTTTCTACTGTCTCATTTTCTTTCTTGTTTAATGGTGCACAGTTTGGATCCGTTCTTCCCTCCAGAGGGCTTCGACAGGGAGATCCTTTATCTCCCTATTTATTTATTTGTTGTGCTGAAGCTTTGATAGCTATGGTTTCAAAAGCAGTGGAAAGAGGCGATTTTAAAGGTGTTCATGTGGCCCCGACAGCTCCCGTGGTATCCAATTTGTGCTTTGCCGATGATACCCTCATTTTCGGTGAAGCTACTGAGTCATATGCAGCAAACTTAAAGGAAATCTTGGCTACATATGCGAGAGTATCTGGACAAGAAATTAATTTTGAGAAATCTACAATGATGTTTAGTCCATCGACTTCTCAGGAGATAAAGAATTCAATTCACCAGCTTCTCGGATTTCAAGTGGTGGAACAGCATGACAAATACTTGGGCATGCCTGCTACTATGGGCAAAACCAAAAAAGAGATCTTCTCCTTCTTGCGTGATCGTGTTTGGTCCAAGATTAACGGTTGGGGGGAAAAACAATTATCAAAGGCTGGGAAAGAAGTTTTAATCAAGGCGGTATTACAGGCAATACCTTCATATATTATGAGTTGTTTCTTGCTACCAAACGGTCTTCTTCTAGAAATTGAATCGGTCATCCGACGGTTTTGGTGGGGGTCGGGAGCGAACAGAGGATTGGCATGGACATCGTGGAAGGAGTTGTGTCGATCTAAGGATCAAGGTGGGCTTGGTTTTAGAGATATGCGGACTTTCAATATTGCACTTCTTGTAAAACAAGCGTGGCGAGTTTTAACTAACCCGGATCTACTTCTTTCAAAAATTATCTCCGCTAAATACTTTCCACATGGCTATTTATTATCGGCGGATCTGGGGTCGCGTCCATCTGCAACATGGAGGAGTATTTGGACCGTAATCCCGTATTTGAAGATGGGCATCCGTAGAAGAATTGGCAATGGGGCGGATACTTCTATTTGGTCGGATCCTTGGTTACGAGATGGTGGTAAACTCGTGGTTTTCACAAGACGTCCAATTCACTCGGGGTTCCCTAATAGAGTCTCGGATATTATCGAACCAGAATCAGGCGAATGGGATTTAAAAATTTTACACGAAGTCTTTTGGCCGGTGGATGTTGAACGTATATTGGCTGTCCCGGTGGGAAGTGTTATGGCAAAAGATAGGTGGATATGGCATTTCTCTAAGCACGGTAACTTCACGGTTAGATCTTGCTATCACCACATTCTTTCTTGCGCTATGACTATGGTAAGTCGTCGAAGAAATGAGTCTGGTTCGTATAGTGGAGTACAGCAACAAAACTGGAAATATATTTGGCAACTCCCAATCCCACCAAAAATTCGCATGTTCCTTTGGCGACTGAAATCTAATATCATTCCAACCAATGCAGAATTATTTCGACGAAAAATCAGTTCATCGCCCCTTTGCAGCACGTGTCACATTGAAGAAGAAACTCCCCTACATGTCATTCTAAAATGCAGGGGTATGGAGAAGGTGTGGCGGAGTCACCCATTTGATACATTGGAAAGCCACAACTATTCATCAATATGGAACTGGACTAGAAAATTGAAGCAATCACTTGATGAGGAAAATTTCAATATTGCAATGGTGGTTGCATGGAAGGCTTGGGACAACAGGAATCGAGCTATGAAAGATGAAGAGGTTATTAAGTCATGTGATTTGGTCAGTTGGTGCCGCCATTTTTTAGCAGCTTATAAATCTGCACAAATTTGCCCAAATTCGAGGATGCGGGATATACACCCTAGTGTTTGGAAACCACCCCCTAGTAATGTGGTTAAATTAAATTTTGATGTTGCATTTCCAAATGGGGAAAGTTTCTTTTCGGTGGGAATGGTTGCTCGGGATAGTTATGGTTCTTGTCTCGGTTGGAAAGTAACACGCATACAGGGAAATCTTCAACCTGTGGAAGGAGAAGCATTGGCGGCGTTGAAGACGATCTCTATGGCCAAATCGATGGGCTTAACAAATATTATACTTGAAGGCGATTGCCTCCAAGTGATAAATGCACTCAACAGCAGGGAGTGGGAATTCTCATCGTTCGGAGCGTTTGTGGAGGAATGCCTCAACATTGGTGAAAGTTTTGATTCTTGTTCGTTTAATTTTGTTAAGAGACAGGGAAACTTGTTAGCTCACTGTATTGCTCAAATTTCATGTACTGTTTCTATGGAGAGTATTGATCTCCCGTTGCATTTAGCGAATATCGCTTAATAAAATTCCCTTTTATTGTCAAAAAAAGACTGAAACAAACATCAGGGGAATTTGGTAATTATCGATAAGTGGGGGTGTTTTTTGTAATTTAGCCTAAGTTTAGGAGAATTTTCATAATTTATCATATTAAGAACGATTATTGTTATTTTAATGTCTTAACGTTTTCTTATATCCTTATAATATTTGAAATAATGTTAATGTTAGTTTGATAATATAATTAAAGATTAATTTCTAATATATTTAATATGTGTTTTTTTTATGCTTCACCTACCACACGTAAGGAATTTGATATAAAGGTTGCGAGTTGAACATAATTGTTTTTTATACGAAATAATAGATCAATGCAAAAACCATTGATGCAAAATCAAATTTAGGATTGTGATTAGTATTAGCATTAGAATAATGATCACAATTAATATTCTTTGAATTAGATTAGTATTAATACTAGGATAAGGATTCATATGAATATATTATTAGAATTAATATTAGGATTAGGATTATGATTAGAATTATGATTAATATCAGTATTAGAATTATAATTAAGATTATGATTATAATTAGTACTACAATTTGACATGTATTACTATTAGGATTAGATTAGCATTAGAATTAGGATTATAATTAAAATTAAGATAAGTATTATAATTAGAATTAAAATTAGCATTAGTATTAGCATTATTAGTATATATAAAAATTATTAGGGTTAGGATTATAATTATGATTAGTGTTAGTAATATGATTAGGATTAAGATTAGGATTAGAATTCAAAATCATGATTAGTGCTATGAATAAAATTAGGAATATAATAAGGATTTTGATAATATCATGATTACAATTATAATCAGTATTAGCTTATCCAAATTAGCATTAACATTAAAATTAGTATTAGCATAGTAAATGGACATTAGCATTAACATTAGCAATATTAGCATATTAGTATTAGTATCAATATTAAATATTAGTATTAGTATTAGTATTAGAATTACTATTAGTGTTAGTATTAATATTAGTACTACTATTAGTTTTAGTATTAGTATTAGTATTAGTATTAGTATTAGTACTAGTATTAGTATTATGTGGTGTTTGCAAATGATTATTTAAAAGTAGAAGTTAGTGATTGTGAGTTAAGTCATTTTAAGTTCTTATTTTTAAAAGCTTGGGGGTGTTTGAATATTCCGGAAAATGAGCTTAAATAGAAAAAAGCAGGGCAACGGGTGCTATTAAAAAAATAGCTTAAATCAGATTATTTTAAGAGAAGCAAAAGCAGATGTTGATGTTGCCGCCACCAGAAAAAAAATTATGAGCAAAAAATGCTCATAATCACCTTCAAAAAGCTTTTACAACCACCACCTTAGTATTATTATTATTATTATTATTATTATTATTATTATTATTATTATTATTATTATTATTATTATTATTATTATTATTATTATTATTATTATTATTATTATTATTATTATTATTATTATTATTATTATTATTATTATTATTATTATTATTATTATTATTATTATTATTATTATTATTATTATTATTATTATTATTATTATTATTATTATTATTATTATTATTATTATTATTATTATTATTATTATTATTATTATTATTATTATTATTATTATTATTATTATTATTATTATTATTATTATTATTATTATTATTATTATTATTATTATTATTATTATTATTATTATTATTATTATTATTAGTATTAGTATTAGTATTAGTATTAGTATTAGTATTAGTATTAGTACACTACCAAAAAACAGCGCTTTTGTGACATACCAAATCCGTCACCATGGGTGACTGAATTACTGACAAATATGTGACGAAATTCTAATTAAAATAATTCACAAGTGGTTGTAACGAATATGTGACGGATTTTGTGATGAATTTTGTGACAACAAACATGCGTTCACATTTGGGTCACAAGTTTGGTGACGAAAATTGATTTTGTCATAATTTCCGTCATAACCATTTTATGGATGTATAATCTAATTAAAACTAGTCACATATCTGTCACAAAATCAACTTCGTCACAAATACATCACATGTAATATCGTCACAAATCAGTAACATTCTACTTTATGTCATTAATCCGTCACAACATTAAGTTCGTCACAAATGTGTCACATGTAATTTTGTCACAAACCAGTCACATCTAATTTCCGTAATTGATCTATCACAACATCAAGTTCATCACAAATGCGTCACTTATAATTTCTTCAGACATTTGTCACATTCCAATATATGTCATTGTTTCGTCATTGATATATAACTACCTTTGTTCGGGTAAAAATTCATCAACAGATCACATTTTTTCGTTTAATATTTCAAGCTGTAACTTATGTCATAAAATTAAATTGATATATTGCAGGAAATAACATATAATATACCAAACTCGACATTATAGTATGGTATTGATAGTGTGTCAAAATTCAATTTTCATAAAAAAAATTAAAAAATGGATGAATATATTACTTTAGTAAAAAAAATCTTGTGTTCAACTGATTAAAATATATATATATATATATATATATATATATATATATATATATATATATTTAAGTCAATTAAAAGGATATTTAAGTGTTGTTATAAAATTTTTTATTTAAAATTTATTATTTTACTAACGGTTTTTTTTATTAGGGTAACTCTATTTAATTTTCTCACAACCCTTCTTTTACATGGAATTACAATAACCTATTAGAGACTTAGAGTTGTAACATTGACATGTAAAATTAGTGTTTAGGCTTTAATTAAAATCATTTTGATATAAAGTATTTTACCTTATTACCAAAACACTCACCGAATTTTTAAAATTACAAACATCCAGTTGAAAAGAAAATAAAAGTTTAACCAATCTGACATTTTTAAATTTTGCAATTATTTTAAGAAATTACTATTATAATTTATTCCCTTTAAATCCAGGGAGAAAAAAAATGATTATTCTTAGTTAATATACAATAATGTTTTATAGCTATTACTTCATATTATATTATTAAAACTGAAACATTAGATAATAGAAAATTTAAATTAAAAATTTCTTAATGATTTCATAGTACACTGATATTTATTTTTGAAACTTAAGAAGTTAATTATATTGTTTTTTTTTTCTCAAAAAAAAGAAAAGAAAAATTATATTGTATGCGGGCCTGTGTTTTCCTTGTTAAGTGTAAGTATTCATATGATTAGACCGATTAATTGTAAGATAAACCCAAGCCCACATACGCAAAGTACTTAACTCCGCCATTTCCTCCACTACCGTGGGAGGACTCGAGGGTTAGCAAATCCCCAATTTTAAAACATCAGTGTTTAGGACGCAGAGATGACGGGGGATCATGGCGGGCCGCAGGCAGCGGCGGCGGTAGCTCCTTCTGGGATAAACTACTTGGGCATACGGGTAATTCTTTAAATTCATGTTCGTTTATTTTAAAAAATGATATATAACTATTATTATGTATACAATGGGTATTAGCCAGAAGATGATGGTAATCATCTTCAGGTGGTAGTAATGAAACATGATGGCGATTAAGGGTGTACTTCAGTGTCGCTCTGTTAATTGTTCGTTTTTTATCAAAGTATTCTGAGTTGTTATCTTTATAATAATTTCAGAATGAGATTTCTGTTGCAATACTAGGGGTTCCTTAAACAAGCTTTGCTAATTGTAGTTTATTTTAGTTCACCATACTTCGAATGATTACAATTGCTTGATTGTTTTTATTATTATTACAAGAAAACAAATATATAGTAATTGAGTCGAGTAAGCTCGAGAACAAAAGACGGACAAGTAACATTATTGGTATTATTAATCGATTCTTTTTATCTAGTAATTGGTTTGTGTAAACATTATTGGTATTGATTCTTTTTATTGTTTAAATGTAGTGTCATGGTACCGGTGTATGTGTTGAAGAAACAATCGAGGGATGGAAGTTGAACATTGCAAAGTCGAAAGAGCTTGAAGATGCAATGAAGAATAAAGTTGAAACTTTCATGTGCGAATGAGCATGAAAAATAAGTTTACTTAAGGTATCTTATGTTTGATAATAAAAATCAAACTTCTCTTATGTTGATATTATGCCTCTCTTCACTTCTTTGAATTTTTAATTTACTCTGTCTATGACGAGTTGATCGAAATGAAGCTTTAGCTTGAACCAGATTAAAGGGCTACTTTTCCGTCAATCTAGAAGCTAACCTTTTGTTCATAGTGAGAATACGTGCATAGTCATTTTTATTATCACTACTCATTTTTTTTGCATTTGATTTGTGAACTCTGAGTATATATGTTTTAAATTTAATTTGTTATGTATGTTTATCTTTTGATTATTTTCATATGATTATTTGCAGGACATAAACTGCCCAAGGAGGTAAAAAACTGAAGGTATAGAAGGAAAGGACATGGACAAAGTACAAATGCTTTGGTGGCTCTTGTTAGGATTCTTTCTACATGACTACATATATGTTTGGAACATATTCCCATGATTTATGCCCCTTTATTGAAATTTATTTAGTTTGCATTGTTAGGATGTATAGAGGTTAATGTTCTTGAATTTTTTTAATGTACGACTCTAGTTGTGAGGTGGTGTGATTCTTATATTAAGATATTTTATGCTTTGTTATTTTTGATTGTATTCTTGTGAATGATTAAATTGGAAAGTTTATGATATTTAATTAACATGATTAAAAAAGTAGTATAAAACTTAAAAGATATAAATATTCTTTGTGACAAAAATTGTGACTGTTCGAATCAAAATATAATTTTAATTAGTAACAGATTGGTGAGGGATTTGTGACAATTGTTTTGTGACGGACATTTGTGACACATATTTTCAGACGCGTATTGGTGACGGGCATTTGTGACATATATTTTTGTGACGGACATGATATTTTGTGACAATATTTGTGACGGATAAATAGCAAAACCTTCGATTAATATGTGACGGATTAATGACAACGTAAACAAGCTTGTGACAACATCCGTCACAATGTTTACTGATCTTGGACATGATGTTTGTGACGAAATGATTTTTGTTAGTGACCGATATTTATGTGACATATTATGTGACGGACTCATAATTCCGTCGCCATTTTAATTAGTGACGAGGGTATTTCTCACAGACGCATTCTATGTCACAACTTCGTCACAAAAGGGTATTTGTGACAGATTTTATTTAATTTAGTGACATAAACGTCCGTCACAAAAGACCCCTTTTTTTGGTAGTGGTATTTATAGGATTAGGATTAGTAATATTATTAGAAATTAGTATAATAGTGTTAGTACTAGTATTATTATTATTATTATTAGTATTAGTATTAGTATTAGTATTAGTATTAGTATGAGTATTAGTATTAGTATTAGTATTAGTATTAGTATTAGTATTAGTATTAGTATTAGTATTAGTATTAGTATTAGTATTAGTATTAGTATTAGTATTAGTATTAGTATTAGTATTAGTATTAGTATTAGTATTAGTATTAGTATTAGTATTAGTATTAGTATTAGTATTAGTATTATATTAGTATCAATATTGATATCAATATTGGTATTAGTATTGGTTTTGTATATTGGTATCTGCATTGGTATTAGTATTGATAGGGGTGTATAAATCTTATCTCTTTTGCAATGTTTATAAGTTGTATTGTTGTTTGAGTAATGTGCATCACTAATTAAATGACATTTGTGATAAATTTGCAGGTTATTTGATTATCTGTTTGTGTTATTTCTTTGCTACCGTGTTTGTTGTTAAGTAAGATATTTTGCAGAAGATTCATAGGGTAGTACACTGCATTCCATGAAATATAGTTAACTATATGTTTGACATGATTTCACTTAATCTTCATACCGTGTTTTGCGCTCTTCGCGTTTTCTTCTTTGTAATATTTAATTGAATTTCATATGTTACAACTCTGAATTAAGAGGTAAAGTTCATCTTTTTTTTAGTTCCTTCCATTTTGTTTTACTTGAATTGGTGTTGTTTTACTTGAATTGGTGTAATATGACCGTCAATCAGAGTAATATTACAATACTTGATAATAATATTATTACGTTGACTGATCAACAAATAATAATATTGATGTGGTTGACAGTATATTAATGTATTTACACTAATTTTATGGCCAACCACAATAATATTACTATCGATAGTCAGCGGCAAAAGGAATTTTTTTCTTTCCCAAAAAAAAAAAAAGTCGCCGGTGTCCGACGACGGAAAAAGAAAATTCATATAAAATAATTTTGAAAAGAAGTTAAAATTGAATTTTTGTAGTTAAATTTGATGAAATTGGAATTAATTAGGATTGTAATTAGAAATTGAGTTTAAAGGATTGGTGACTTTGAGGTAATTTTTTCATAAACGTTAAATTTACATTTACTGATAATATATGTTAAAGAAATGAGTTTATTGGTAAAAAAAAAAAAAAAAAATTCCTAAACCTAAATTAATAAAGGTTGTTGGTTAGAGCGAACTTCTCAAAAAAAAATAGGGTAACAACTAAATATTAAGTTCATCCTTCATTTATCGGCGCTCCAAATAAAAAAGTTGTTCCGTACACAAAATTGTCTGGCACATCTTACCCTCTTCTTCTAGAGTAGTTATTATTAGGTAAAATGTTCAATTCTCAATTGAGTTCGTTTCAAGGCCATTTATAAGGCCAATTTTCTTTTATTTATTTATTATTAAATTTTTTTAAATAAATAATAGCCTTATGTGGTGCTATTTAATTTAGGGCATTTTATATCATCGATTTATGTTAGTTGGTAGTTGCTAGATTAATAATCCTACCCCTCCCCCATAAATATTATTTCAATTATTTTTTGTACTAAAAGAAATTGGTTGACTAGATTTGAGAATGACACACCTTCTCCATCACCTCCACATAAATTGGTAGTACCACTCTCCCAACTACCCAAGATAAATTACTTTTTTGGTTTTTAGTTCTCCTCCCAACAACTTCTATCCCTCCTTAAATTATCAGCTGCAGAATTTAATTCAATTTTTGTCAAACATTTCTTTATTGTTTGCCCAATCTTTTCAGTTCAATAAGGTCTCGTTTGGTTGAGACGATGATATTATATAATCTAATAAAACAATAATATGTATAGAAAGAAAATCGACCTGACAAGTTATTGGAGATACCAAACATCAAATACAGTCCAATTATTCAGTTTATAATGGCTAATTTCCTTGACCAGACGAGATCTAAGTATATATGTTGACATTTTACCGTAGGTGCAACGAAATTCTTATCCTTACTCATCTGGTGAAATTAAAGTCATTAATTTTCAGTTGGTTGGCCTAGAAACCTTAGCTATTAAGTAAATTCATTGCCTATATATAAGTAACACCGACAAGAAAAATAGTGCTTGGACTTAATTCGAATTGAATTAAGTAAAATATGAACGATCTATGTTAGAAGTGTAAACGAGTCGAGTTCGAGATAAACTCAATTTATTTGAAAGGTCCGGGTCGTAATCTTGATTAATATGATATTTTTCAAAATTGTCGAGTATGATTAATTGAATAGACCCCTCAAGAAACGTCTTGATGTTTACTTTAAACACATGGAATTTTTTGGGGTAAATGAATTTGCATTGAGAACGACTCTTCCAACTCTTTCTCTAATTAGTTAATTATTAATTAATTTTGTTAAGGAATGAATACTCATCTCTATAAAATATTTATAGTAGGCCATGAACTTTTGACATAAATAATTATCACTAGTTAAGTGAGAGAATTTAATTAACTCTATAATTTGATGGATATTGAATTATTGTTTGATTGATTAAGCCTTAAAAGATGCAATTTGAATCACCAAAATATCAATATTTTACTTTATTATTCTTTTTTTTTTTAATATTTTACTTTAATATTCTCATAGTGCCAAATATGTAATTTGTTGTGGTGTTACATTTTAGTTTCTAACAGTTACTGACTTACATAATAAAATTAGTTTTATTTCTAAGTATTTTATCATGCGCACCCAAAATGATTTGATTTGAAAGATATTCTTATGACAAAATACCAATACCACTTAGGCCAAAACACTATGGTAAATATGTTACTTAACATCGAATATTCATATATAAATAAAAGATAAATTGATAAGTGAAAATGTAGTATTATACTACTACACAAATGAATGATATATGACAATATTTTTCTCATAGATACTACGAGTTTATAAATTCGACTAATAACTTAATTAATTCTTCGTAGTGAAATTAGGCAAGAGTTTAATTCGACTAATAACTTAATCAATTCTTCACAGTGAAATTAGGCAAGCGATATATACTATACTTTCTGAGTGATGTGTTTTGTATATTTGTCATGTGAGCTATTTCTTAAACAACTTCATTTCCTAAAACATTAGTTTCATGTACTAGTTTATTGAGCATACAATTTTCGCCATTAGTTTTGGATCAAAGTTTGAAAATTCCAAATATTTTATATACAATTTCGATTCCTATTTAAAAAAAAATTGAAAATCATAATTCAAAAATCGGACTACGAAAAAATCATTCCAAAATAGGAAATATTCAGATTCAGAATCGGCAGAAATCGGAATATACCTTAACTTAATTTTCTAAACCATTAGTTCTAGTTTGAGTCTCACATGTTCATTTCATCAACAAGGCTTCTTAAAAGTGGATCCCACTCCATGAATACGTCACAAAATTGTTTATTTTAGGTTTAGCTAAAAACATTTTATATTGTGTCTTTCATTTTTTTTAAAGTGGAATATAAATTTATCTTTCTCCATGTGTCTACAACTTTTTCTTTTAATTTAAAAATATTTCAATTTAATTTGAACAAATAAATGCAAATCAATTTAAAAATAAGAAACCATTTCCATGTTTCGAATGGAAGCAAAAGCATTTACATAGGGACACACTAAAATATTGCAACAAACACAAAAAAATGAGTATTCCGTGTCTCAATTTAATGCTGCATTGTTGGAACTTGCCCAAAACTACTAAACCACAAAAAGGGCAAGTCCGTAATAAACACCAAATCCAAAGGGCAAATCCCCAAACCTCCACCTATATATTAATCACCACCTCCATCAACTCCTTCCCCACATCTCTCTTACATCCAAAAAAACACACACACTACACACAGTTCACAAACCTTAAAAAAGAAAGAAAAAAAAGAAAGATGTCTGCAATAACAGATGAGATAAGAGCGAGTGCTTCAGAAATGTACCACGGAGATGAAATCTGCCAAGAGAAATCGAAGTGGCTGCTCACAGAAATGGGTCTGCCGAACGGGCTTCTGCCATTGAAGGATATCGAGGAGTGCGGCTACGTCAAGGAAACCGGGTTCGTTTGGCTCAAGCAGAAGAAGAAGTGCGAGCACAGGTTCGTCAAGATCAACCGCCCGGTTCAGTACGCCACCGAGGTGACCGCTTACGTCGAGCCGAACCGGATCAAGAAGCTAACCGGAGTCAAGACCAAGGAGCTTCTCCTGTGGGTCACTCTCTCCGATATCTCCGTTGACGATCCGCCCACCGGAAAGATCACCTTCAAGACTCCGACCGGGCTTTTCCGGACTTTTCCGGTGGAGGCCTTCCAGCTTGAGGAGGAGCCGGCGAAGGTTGAGGCGGCGGCGGCGCCGCCTGCGGCGGTGAAGGAGGAGGTTAAGGTCGGTGCGGCCGCTGTTGAGGTGAAGGAGGTGTAGGGTAATTAAATGCTGGATTATTATTATTATTATTAATTATTATTATTATTATATAATCACTAAAGAATGGGATTAATTTGGTAATCACTTGTGATTATCTAATTAGTCGATCTATGTTATCTTTTATTAATCCTTTGTTTAATTTTATATTTCTATCTTAAAGTATGGTATCAAATAAGTTTCATTTTATGAGTTTATATAATTAATTTATCTTCTCTTTTTTAATAGAATTAATTACATTCTTAATAATATTGAATAATCTACTAATTAATCTTGTTATGGCAACTAAATGAGTTTCAATATAATTAAAAAGTCTGAATTGCAATTTGACTTTTAATTTGTAGTCTACCGAAAGTTATCAAATATCGAGACTCATGATTGTTTCGCTTCACTAAAATGCAATGTTATCAGAACCGGACTAGACATAAAACCGGATAGACTTTCGGATCATGGTTGGACCGGTTCAACCGCGTTCGACACCGATTTTTTATTTTTTTAATTATTTTATTAATTTTAATGTTTTAAATTTATATTATGTATATATATTTTATCTTTTACACTCTCTTTACTTTTATTATTTATTTTTTATATATAAACTATTCTTTCTAGGGGAAACTACAGATAAATTCCTAATCCAAAATACAAAACACAGATCAGTCCCCAGGCAGTTTCCCCAAGCAAATCAGTCCCTACTCACGCGCCTAATATGCAGTTCAGTCCCTAATAAAATGTGCAAATACTAAAATACCCTTTACTTTATACTAATTTTACATAACTTATTTCCAACCTCCAACGCGCCGTTTGTGTTACACGCTCTTTGCCCGTTACATTTCAAAAATCAAACAACGAGAAAGAAGCTAAAAAGGCGCAGGAAAAAAACCACCGTTTAGTTTATACCCATTTACAGACAAAGAAGAAATAAAGAAGAAACGAAGAACAAAGAAACAACAAAGAAAGAAGAAACAACGAAGCACGGAGAATCAACAAAACGCAGAAAAATTATAAAACGAAAGGAAAAATAAAAATAAACAAACCCATTTCTAGACAATGGTGAAGCAGGGTAAACAACAAGGTTTGATTTTTTTTTTCTTTCATTTTCTTGGAAACAGACCCATTTGGGTGTTGCTTAAACTTGCAAAAAGGTTTATTTGTTGTAGAATTGCATGATTTCGAACATATCCACTCATGGGTATTATGTGTCGACTTTAATCGGTGTTTCCCCTAATCATTAAATCGGTTCCAATATCTGTTGTTTTGTTGTTTGGGTTTGCAAATATCATTTATTTGTTGTCGAATTTCATGATTTTGTAACAGTTTCCTCTTGGGTATTATTCTTCGGCGACATTAGCATGTCCCCAAAGCATTTTGAGTCCTAACAAGGGTTTCATATATGATATGGGAAAGAGGCTTATTGTATTTTTCGTACTAGTTCTATAGTATGTGTCCTGCGCAGTAATGGTATTAATAGTGCATTTAGATGGTACTGACACAGGGTACTCGAAGTACTGTCCCGAAAGCATTTAGTCCTAATAATGGTATTGCTCTTGACTTCAGACGGTATTAACTCATGGTACTGGAAGTATAATTTTTGATGGTTCTGTAGTATGTGTCATATGCCACAATAGTATTGGTAGTGGCTTTGAATGGTATTGCTAGTGACTTTAGATGGTATTGACATAGGGTGCTGGAAGTATAATGTTTGATGGTTATGTAGTATGTGTCATTTGCCACAATAGCATTGCTAGTGCCTTTGAATGGTATTGCTAGTGACTTTGGATGGTATTGACACAGGGTACTGGAAGTATAATGTTTGATGGTTCTGTAGTATGTGTCATATGTCCCAATAGTATTGCTAGAGCCGTTGAATGAAATTGCTTGTGCATTCGAATGGTATTGACAAAGGGTACTGAATGTATAATGTTTGATTGTAATGTAGTATGTGTCATATGGAACAATGGTATTGAACGAAATTACTGGAAGTATTAGTAGTGGAACTTTATAGTACGTTGTATTTGTTATAATTGTACTTTTATGTGTTGAATTACGGCTTGTTTGTCTGCTTGTGGGCATATTGTCATCCTGTAGACAATGCATATATTTGGTTTAAGGCAAAAACTTGCGATATCAAAACACTTCGCCCTAAACTAACAATTATCTTTCTGAAGCATCGGGAGTAGAAGTGGAAGCTAAAGATGAAAGCGATGTAGCGTTATTGTAAAAAATTTGGGAGTGGAAGTGTTTTGGGGTTTTTTTGTTTTTTCTTTTTCATGAACAGATGAATGTGTTTTTGTGCCATAAACAATCTGTCATTTTGTTGTAGAGCTAATAATACTATTGGTTAGCTCTACTCGTACTTTTCCATTGTATACATCGTACTATATGTTTCAACGAATTGTACTTACCTTTTGAACACATGGTACTTTATTTTGCGATGAATTGAATTTGTATAAAGAATACAAGCGTACCATAAAAATGAGCAACAAATACTTTCTAGTCTATTCGAAGATAACTTGTCAACACTAGACTTGTACTTACTTGATGAACAAAGCGTACTATATTCACGAATAACCTGTACTTCAGATGTGTGTTTATGAAAAACTTATATTTTCCTCAAATGTTACCATAAATCGATGTTGATCGACTCCCAGATTGTCTCTATTCATTTTTAATAGTCTTAAAATGAAGAATTGTGTCTTAAAATACAATTATATGGATGCAGTGGCCCCACAATAATATATAGAGTGTAACAATACTATATGAATGGCAAACATATACTTTATCAGTGAACAAGGCGTACTATATTCACGAATAACTTGTACTTCACATGTGTATTCACTGTACTTACTTGATGAACAAAGCGTACCATATTTTGTGATGAATTGAATTGTACCAATTTCATTGACACTTTAATGATCAATAAGTATGGGAGATGCATAAATTATGTTTTAGATGATTATTCTAAGGTAGGTGAGAATTATTGTTACGTTTGGAATACAAGATCCCATAAATATGTTGAATTTCATACATGATACTCATATACTATACAAGATACTCATATAAGTGTACAATGCTCAAGTGTAAAGCTAATATTTTCCTCAAATGTTACCTAATCGATATTGATCGACTCCCACATTGTCTCTATTCACTTATAATAGTCTTAATATGAAGAATTGTGTCTTAAAATGCGATTAGATGGATGCATTAGCCCCACAATAATATATAAAGTGTAACAATACTATATAAATGGCAAACATATACTTTATCAATGAACAAGGCGTACTATTCACATGTGTATTCATTGTACTTACTTGATGAACAAAGCGTACTATTCATGAATAACCATAATTTTACCAGTTTATACATTGTACCTACTTGATGAACTAAGCGTACTATATGCACGAACAACCCGAATTTTACCAGTATATACATTAAACTTACTTGGTGAACAAAGCGTATTATATTCACGAATAACCCGAACTTTACCGGTTTTTACATTATAATTATTTGATGAACAAAGCGTACTATATTGACGAATAACCCGAACTTTACCAGCTTATACATTATACTTATTTGATGAACAAAGCGTACTATATTGACGAATAACCCGAACTTTACCAGCTTATACACTGTACTTATTTGGTGAACAAAGCGTACTATATTCACGAATAACCCGAACTTTACCAGCCAATACATTGTACTTATTTGGTGAAAAAAGCGTACTATATTTACGAATAACCCGAACTTTACCAGCTTATATATTGTACTTATTTGGTGAACAAAGCGTACTATATTCACGAATAACCCTAACTTTACCGTATTCTTATGTCAACTGATTAAACAACAGTACATAGATTTTACATAGCATGTAGACTGCAAATATTACTAGATTTAACACTATCAAACTATGAACTACTCTACCTTCAGAATTGCAATTCTTCACTTCACTTTCTTGATGGACTTGGTTCATCGACGCACTTGTAGCTTCATTTTCTTAACGATTTGAGCTGTTGTGGGAAAAAGTTTGCCCAACTTCAAATGGTTCACACCAATGGGAGTAGCTATGGTGTGGGCAACAGTAAAATAACCTTCCGGGATTTGAAATAGTTTCTGAAACCATGATTAGTGTTTTCTTCCCACAATCAAGACGCTTGCATTTCCTTTTTTTGTATTTTAACCCACTCATTTGAGTGGTGCTACTCGAAGAAGCCATGAATGAGAAACAAATGAGCTTATGTGTCATTTATGCTCATATTACGACTTGATTACTTCTGAAAATAAGCAACGACTATAATAGTTTATAACGGTCATAAATTGAGTAAGTCATACCATCCTATCTCATAATACCATGGGTAAATAAAATCAGTACATTTTACACCGACAATGATAAACCATCAACCAACATAAGACATACCATCATATCCCATAAATAATACCATGCGTAAATAAACTCAGTACCTTTATACTGAAAATGATAAACCATCAAGCAACAATAGGCATACTATCATATCGTATATCTAATACCATGTATAAATAAAAATAGTACCATTAGATTGAAAATGATAAACCATCAAGCAACAACTGGCATACCATCCTATCTCATATCTAATACCATGTGTAAATAAAAATAGTACCATTAGACTGAAAATGATAAACCATCAATGAACAGAATGCATAGTACAAAACACAAATAGCAAAAGCATAGTGCAAATTGAAACATAGTATAAAGTTCAAATCAACATAGTACAAATCACATAATAATAAAGTACAAACAATACCAAATTTACCTTTCACCCATACTATACGAATAACGATTACATACTCTAAGTACCATACGTCCATACCATAATTATATTAGCATGATACTAATACGTCTCATATTATATACTATGTATCACACAATAATTAACAACCATAAAGAAATGCATTTCAGTAGTACAGAAAAGGATGGAGACCTACCAGCCATCAGTGCGAACCCTCTTTCCACGCGAATTAGCTTCCATGGGGTGGGTGGGTTTTACAGTGATTTTTTCGTCGGAAAACGTGGAAACCAGAGGAGAGAAAGAGAGAAGAAAGAGAGCAGATAGAAAGGAAGAAAGAGAAGAAATAAAGAGAAGATGAAGAGAGAGAAAATGAAGAGAGAGAAAATGGTGAAAGTGAAAAAGAAGAGAGAGAATATAATAAAATATATTAAATTCACATTAGGGACTGATTTGCATGTCA